TATCTGGCATTTATTTGTTCAATGGTTACAAAGCATTTACACATACATTATTCTCCATTAAGCAGATACAGCAACTAGGCTTGGAGAGATTATATATGTCCATGAACACAGAGCTAATACCCCCAGTACATTAAGCTGCCCCTATAAAGAAAAACTTGTGAACCAGGTACAATAAAGAAAAAGGGTGGACACTACTAATATCCCCAATATCCACTCTACCCTTCTTCAAGTTACGTAAGTTTTAATGAAGCATACTGGCCACCCAGAATAAAGACTTATTATTTCCCAGTCTCCCTTCCAGTTAGGTCTTGCCAAAGGATTATGTTCCAACTAATGGGCTGTAAGCATATGTTCTTTGAGAGTTCTCAGGAAATTTCTTAAGAAGTTGCTTTTACCTCCCTTTTTTATTTGTTCCTTTTCCTACTGCATGGAAATGGAATGGTGCTATCTTAAGGCTATGAGGGTGAGTCTATATCTTAGGAATGACAGAGAGCTGAGACAGAAGAAGCCTAAGTCCCTGAAGATTTCATGGAGTACTGTCTTTTTATGCAAAAGGGCAACAAATTCTTAACCTTATTTAAACCACTATTAGTTTTGTATCACAGTTGACCATGATACTAAATAATAATAATAATAACAGAGAAAGAAAGAATATGCCAAAGCTTGGAGGTAACTAAAATAGGGATGGCAGTTATTTAGCTGGACTTGCAAAGATGAATGATACCTCAGTTCCGACAGAGGAATGATCCCATTCCAATGCATTACTGTGAGTAGGCATTAAGTAAAGACTGTTGTTTGGTACTGTAGAGTCGATTTGGGACTCATAGCAGCCCAATGTGACACAGTACAACTGCCCCATAAGGTTTCCGAGGCTGTAATCTTTATGGAGAGGAGCCCTTGTAGCACAGTAGTTAAGTGCTTGGCTACAAACCAAAAGGTCAGTCAATCGAGCCCACCACACACTCCTTGAGAGAACAATGTGGCAGTTTGCTTCCATAAAGATTTACAGCCTTGGAAACCCTATCGGGCAGTTCTATTCTGCTATAGGGTCACTAAGGACCGCTGGTGGCATAATGCCTAAGGCATTTGACTGCTAACCAGAAGGCTGGCGGTTCAAACCCACCAGCCACTCTTCAGAAGGCAGGATGGACAATCTATTTCTGTAGTGATACTGCCTCAGAAACCCAAGGAGGGGGTCGCTAAAGTTGGATACAACTCAACAGCAGTGTGTTGCGTTGCGTTACGTATAGTGTCACTATGAGTCGGATTCAACTTGACAGCAGTGGGATTGGTTTCGGTTTTCTAATCTTTACCGGAGTAGATCACCAGGTCTTTTTTCCTGCAGAGAGGCTGCTGAGTTTGAATCATCAACCTTTCAGTTAGCAGCCAAGCACTTAACTGCTGAGCCACCAGACTTCACAAAAGAAGAATACCAGTTTTCTGCCTTCATGAGTAGATAAAGTACTTTTAAGAAAAGAAAGTTGTTGGGCATAGTGAAAAGAACTAGTGGTATGGCAGGAGAGGTGTTTGGTGATACAGGGGCAGATCAAAGTGAGCTAAGAATTAACAATTCTGCCAAGAACAGGAGGTAGTGGCTAAAAGGTATGCTAACGGAACATACAAATAACCATAAGATTTTCACAAAGAACCAGAAAGTCTATATTAAAATAAGTCCCTTTGGTTCTTAGGGAGTGTCTGTCATTTCAAAAAGTATGTCTTAGGAAAACTGCTTTCACAAGATGAACTCAGCCCTACCTCTAAGATGCAGTTATAGCTGTTAAATGCTCATGGCTGTTACTTAGAGGTACTGACATCAATAAATACAAGAATATGAACTCCTCTTTGTAAAACCAAACAGAATTACGGGAACTTAGCTTTTGGCTAGCCTGATACCAAGCAAACAGTTCCAGCAAAACTGACTATACTCAGAGATTCTGATACAAATGGAAATAACCAAATTCCACTACCTTAGCATGACCTTATCCAGCAAAACACTACTGAAGCAGAAT